CAAGATAATAAAATTTATAGGCTTTGGAATTTTTATAATAATTTAATAAGTTTAGAAGAGTTATTGGTTGGTTTAGGAAGTTCGATTAAATTAAATATTTGATTTTATTTTTGTTTTTTAGGGGGGTTAAAATTATTTTAAAAAGTAGTGGTTTTAAGACAAAACCCGTTTTCAATAAGCATGCTTAAGATGTGACCACGGGTTTTCAATTTGGGTCGTGTGTGCTTCTTGAGCATTAACAAATTCAACCGAGTGCTTTACCACTTCATGGCAAGATCCAAATTTAGCAACGGGCCGGGGCAAGATGGATAACCATCAGTAACAATGATAGATTCTGGTACAACATATTCTTTGAACATATCTAGTATAGTCGGAACTTTTCTGTTAGAAACAAGCTTTAGAACAAAGTTCATACAATTTCTCTCTTTTACACCCCCTACTAACCATTGTACATTAGGTTTGTTGTCTAAAGTACTAGATGGGTTAGGTATTAACTTAACTCCCCATTACAGATAGCAGTTTCGTCAAGCTTCACTCTAATACCTTCTCCACCCATTTTAACCATTTCTGGCTCTTGTTCAGAAATTACTTGCAAAATCAATCTTTAATTTTAATGTAAGTGTTCTCTAAAATCGCAGAAATAAATGGCCCGTGTTGGGGTTTAATCATATACCCAGCAATACACTCCCCTAAGAATTTCTACAAATTCTAATTCAGGGAGGCCATTTTAGACCCCTTCCTTAGGCTTGCCTTTGATTTGCATGCCTTAGAAGAGCATATGTAAGCATACCCGTCTATATACGAGTAGCCTTAATAATCCCCATTCTATTATCACATCTTACACTATTTTTTTCTTTTTTTATCAGATTAAATTTTAAAAAAAAATCTATTGTCTTGGTGTTTTTTATAAAAAATGCTTCACTAAATTTAAAACATAAAATTACCTCTTTTAGATTTTACATAATAAGGGTTAAAAAATAATTCATTTTTACCTTTACTCCATCTTTTCACACTCTCCGAATAACTGCGTTCTTTTTAAAAAATTTTGTACGTAGTAAGTTATTCGGAGGGGGGGTGGAAAGATGGGGTAGCGCCAAATCTTTTATTGTGAGGGGAGGACGTACAATATCCATTTGAGCTACGGGGCATATTATACCTCCGATCCCAAATTTTTACGTTTTATTTGTGAAAAACAAAAATATTCAATTCAATGAGTCTATAAAATATATTAATAGAATCAATAAATTTGACAATCCCAGTAACGTTTTACTCACCTGATACACCTTAAGAAAACATTTTAATAAAATAAATATCTTTATGTTGGAAATTTTATTAATCTTTTGGGTGATACGATTGGTTTACTAGATGTACTTTTTTTTCGATGGCGTATAAAGTTAGAATAACACGAAAGAAAGATTGTTGTTACTTAAACATGTTATTTTCTTTGGCTTTTACTGATTCATTATTAAATGTCAAGGAATTGATCACTGATAATTTTACTGTAAAAATGATAGATGAGAGTAATGATAGATTCAATATTGAACATTAATATTATCCTATTTATCAAATTTCTAAGACCTTTTCTACGATACTTCTTTTTCTGATGATAAGTATCTAAAAAAACGTCCGATTGGTTTTGTAAAAAAACCCAAGATTACAATTAAAAAATTTGTATCAACGGCACTAGATAACGCTGTGTCCTTAATTACTACATATGATATTGATGCCATTGTGGGCATTATTGATAAAAATTCATTGTGTAATAGTATACGTGGTTCCTTTAATCTAAATTTTACTGCATTGAAAAACGCATTTACAAAACTTTTACTGACAAAAAGACATTTGTGATATCACAAAAACTTCGTTTATAACATAAAAAATTGTTCGTATATTTATTTTGGATATTCTTCATTAAAACTCGGAGATTTAAATTTATTTATAATATCAACGAAAACTGATACCACACAAAATAAATATGATAAATTGTATTCTGTTCTTAAATCTTTTAAAAGTTATGATAGCACGAAAGTAGATGATAAAAGGGTCTTTTGTGCTAAACAAGTAGTAGTTAATGAATCAGATAAAAAATAACAGGTATCATTACATAAGAAAATCTTCAGTGCTTTTTTACATACTTGTACGATTCGTGTAAAAAAAACCTATCTTTTTTGTAGAAGTTTTAGGCAATAAATCCAAAACTCAATCGAGCCATTGTTTGTTGCTGCTAAAGAATTACAAGCACAATTAAGCATTGAAACGTTACCTTTTTTAAAAATTGACCTTTGCATTGAAAAAAGTACCAAAGAACCCTTTTTAACCTGTGCAAGCGAGTTGATATTGAATAAGTTGGGATATAAATTTACCCACAATATTTTGTTTAGTAACTTGATTGGTAACTGTCATCACAATAACCTAACGAAGAAAAAAGCACAATATATTTGTACGAACAGCTTCATTGATAAAATAAACTTTTATAGCTCAATAGAGGATATCACTAAAAAATGTAGGAACAATACATTTTTACCAGAGGTAAGTATGGCTTTTTTAGATATGTCACTCTTAACTGTATGTAGTAAAAAGCTGAGTAAAGAAGAGAAGAAAACAATCGACCTTAGAAATATGATAAACAACTTCAATGCCTACCGATAAGCTATCGACAAGAGGTAAAAATATCGCCGGTGTTTTTTCTTGAAACTACTAATATAGTCGATGCAAGTTATCCAGAAACAATAAATTTTATCCCCGTTAAACAAGTTAATGATCTTTTAAAATGAATTACAACCTCATGTATAATTCAATTTGTATTTCCCAAAACCGACTTTGATCTTTATAAATTTATTTTATCCTTTAAAACGACCACCAGAACTGCAAGAATTGATATTATTTTAAAGTTTAGAACCATTGAGACCGGTACTGTTGTCCGGATTTTAAGCCATAAATTTTTTTTGGCAAAAGAAGTTAATTGTTGCTATTACTGCATTCTGCTGGTCGAGAAATGCAAGGCCGACGTTATAGACAAGTGGGTTTGGTACTGCAATAAGTATAAAACAAAGCCCAGTGTCGGGTATAATCCATTTTCGCAATATATCAATTAGGCTTGACAGATGTATGGATAGTGATAATTTTGTGGTTAGAAGGCGAAAGCGATTCAAAATCTCTCAAAATTGCGATATGCATCAAAACATTGTTCGTTAAATTTTTAATGATTTAAGAGAAAGAATCTCTCATAAAATTGAGCAAGATCCTCCAAAACTGGGCGGCCAAGGAATTGTTTGTCAAATTGATGAATCTTTATTTTGTTATAAACAAAAATATCACAGGGACCGTATTAAAAATGCACCAGTTTGGGGATTTGGTATTGTTGATACCAGTGTGAAACCCGCAAGGGGGTTTATACAAATAGTACCAAACAGATCAGCAGAGACTTTACTTTCTATAATGGCTAATGTTTGCCGCCCAGGTACAATTATACATAGTAATGGGTGGACGGCGTATCGGAATATTTATGATCTAACGGGCTTTGAACACTTTACTGTTAACAAGACAGCATTCACACGCAAAATATTGAATCATATTGGTCGAAACAGAAACTTTTAATTAAAAAATATGAACGAAGTCATGAGAAACAATTTACATCTACATCTTGCTGAAATTGTGCGAAAAGACAATAATCTTTTAAATCTTCTAGCATGTTTGGTGGGGTTACCCGGCGTTTATTAAAATGTTTGCTTTGTTGTTTCTATCTGCTTTATTCTAGTATTAAAATTATTTAAATATTTTTTAGGAGGTGTATAATGTTATAAATCATTTCTGGTGCGTATGGCATGATTTATCCGATTTATTGCACAAACTAGTCATTAAAACGTATATATTTATTTACTGAATACTTCTTTAAATACTTTTTTAATCGGAGGGAAGCCTATTGGTTATAGAGAGAACCAATGGCGTTGATCGGAGTTTCACAATCATTTAATTGTAAAAGACTATTGGCTTTAATCATGTTATCATACATGTACAGAAAAACAATTTTTTATATACAACATTACAGCCTACTAATGATAATACTAAATAAAAAATCTAAGGAATATATATAAAACAAAAATTCGATCAACACGAAGATGTAAGTTTGAGCTTTAAAAAATAAAGAAAACACATGATCGCGCTGGTGGCGCGCGACAAATAATAAATTATCAAAAAAAGGGTACACAAAAATTCATATGAGAGATTACTTAAATACCAGTAAGAAAAACATGGTAATAAAAAATTGCCATAAATAAAAAGTTACTTGGAAACCCATTCCTAGAAGAAACGGCTGCCTCGATCTATCTATACTTAGTTATGAAAACAAATGAGTGTAAACTAGCTGAAAAGGCCGGAGATTATTTAAAAATAAGTAATATTCAACCTACTGAAAAGAAAAATATTTCCTACTTAAGATTGTCTTAATGATTTTAATAACATTTACATCAAAATAATGATACCAACACGAAATCCAAAAAAAATAATACGAACCTTTGTGTCATATCCTATTGATGATATTACAAGTGGTGAGTCTGCGTCGATCCACAAAATAGTTGCACATAAAAAATCTTCTGATAATCAATATACTTACGATATCAAGACTACAGACAGTAAAGCCGATGACGATTTAAGTTCAATATTTGACCGTTTTTTACAACGGAACGGTGGTGCAAGCAAATCGATTACTGATCACATTAACAACTTAAATCAAGAAAGGTGTAACACGAATTACAATAAAAGCACAAATAAAATGAATACAGCAAGGGCCGATTTATTCCTCCCACGTAATGTCGATTTTTATCTTATTGATAAAATTAAAGACATCTCTTGTCTAAATTAAAAGTACTACAAAGATATTGTCATTTTGTTTTACTGTTTAGAATTTAATGATCAAAGTATTCGTTTGCTTGTGCCTTTAAACAATTTTCTAATCAAAAAATTGTTTATCTTCGGCGCGCTTATCAACCCCTTTATACAAACTTTTTAAAAGCTTCAAATTAAGGCTTATACTTTTTAGGCTTAAAAAAAGTATCCCGCGTTTGGAGAAAATGTCGATTTTGGGAACTTTTTAATATAATCAAAAGTTTTAAATTTTACCCCCAAAAATGATAAAATTGAAAAGAGAAAAAGAATTTTAAGTTTGACAGAAGTGGCAAGAAGCATGTACAAAAATACAAATTTTATAAAATATGATTGTTTTACAAAACCACTTAAGTAAAAAGATTAAATGGGATGTACTCTTTTTGCACGTAAAAAATATTTAATTGCTATGGAGTATTCTATTTTCGAAAATATTTTTTAACTGTTAAAATAACCATTAAAATTATTGGTCTAAGTCTTAATTGTATGCCATTATATTAAAAAAAAGAATATCAAGTGTGTCTAAATCAACTATCAACCATACATTAAATTTCTAATAATTTAAATGTTTTTAATTAATATCTTAATAATACTACTCAAAAAAATGGTGGTGTTAATTATATATAGAAGTAGGTGAAGGGAAACTGAAAAATAAAGTTTAACAAAAGACTCCCTGTTAGGTGGTCCGTGTATTGCTGGTGCGGCGAGTAAAGCCGACAGACGCGTTGTATTACAATCTGTGGATAAGAAAGATAAAGAATCATTAACAACCTTCTGTACTAAATATATTGATAGTACTTCTACAAAATATACTTACTGTTGGTGAGGTTATTCTGATCTCTCTAAACATTTAAAATGGTGCAACTTAAACACAGTTTCACAAGGGTCAAAAAAATTAAGCGAAATTATTTTTTTAACAGTTCCACAAGGGTTAAAAAAATAAAAAAAATAGAGCGATAGTATTTTATTGACTGTTTCACAAGGGTTAAAAAAATAAAAAAAAATAGAGCGATATTATTTTATTAACAGTTCCACAAGGGTTAAAAAAATAAAAAAATAGAGCGATATTATTTTATTAAATGTAATTGCAAATTTTTAATTTTTTCTTTTAGAACCTTTCTTTAAACTTGAATTCATAGATAAAATTGTGGTATTACAACCACATATTAAGTATGTTTTATAGAAAAACTTTATTACAAAATAATTTTAAATTTTAATCCATCCATGCCTTTTATGAAAAAAAACTAAAATAAAGAAATCAATATCAATCTATCTATTTATTTATTTATACTACTACCTTGCGCCATTCCGTTGAAAACAAGATCACAAGCCTAGTGTATGTTTTTTTCTTTTTAATAGATATGGTATGCCTTTATGTACGTACCTATTTTATTATTTTTAATTACAAATTGTCCTTTTTATTATAAATTAAAATTTACTATAGATACCTTGTATAAGATTAATATAACTAAATAAAAGCAGATGAAAATGCACAAAAACACCGTTTCGTGCTTAAGGAAATAAACCCTAAAATGAAGCTTCTTGTTCGTTCTTAATAAAAAATACAAGGAATTTTAAAAAAATTATTTATTGATTTTAAAATGGTATATTATTGTAAAGTTTAGTATTTTGTGCACAAATAAATCCATTTATATTTAAAAATGGTTAAAATGGATAAATTAATCGAAAGAAGCGTGGGTTTTATAATTATTTGTATATAGACATTTCAAACACCCTCCCAACTTTTATGAGATTTCTCGCCTTTCTTACTTCATCTCCACAGTGTGCTATAGTAGATTTTTATAGTATAAAAAAGAATGTGTATAGAAAATTTACATAAAGTCTCGCTATAAAGCCGTAACACACAACTGAAATAAGAAAAGATTTGTTGTGATTAATTGTGTTTGAATTCCGTTTTAAACGAAAAGCATAAGCTAGCCTATCTATCTACTATATTATAAAAATATAAGGAAAATTTTGATTTATTTTTTATCCCTTCTTTTTTTTAATTTAGGAAATTGTTTGTATTTTTTATTAAGAAAGAATAACACAATTATTAAGTTTATTTTATGAGCGCAGCACGATGTTTTGTGCATTTTTTTGGTTTTATTTGATTATAAATACTGTAAAACAAGGAACTATTGCAAAGTGTAATTATTGATAAAGAAGGCATTTTATATTTTTGAACGATACATACAAGCCTAAGTATAACATGCAAATTAAAAAAAGGTGCATATACCGTGTTTGTAATCCTGTTTAATTAAATAGATTTATTAGTCATCATCAGTATATATAAAAAGGTTGAACCTCGATATTTATTTATTTTTTAACTCTTCTTTTTTTGAAAATAAATCAAAAATTCTTTGTATTTTTATTAAAAACAGATAGATAGAATCATTTTGGGGTTTATTTCTCTAATCACGGTGACAGTGAATTATCTAATATTAATATTAAAAGCAAAACGATCAAATATAAAACAAGACTCTGAAATGGAGCCTTTTGAGCTCAATCCCTCCTAATTTATATAAATAATTTTTTTTAAAAAAAATACTCCTGTTTCAGTAATGCAAAGCGAAGAAAATTTAGTTGAAATTTAGAGTTTGATAAAAAATTGTTTACTTAAAAGAAAATGCTCCGTTTTTAATGGTGAAGTGAAAAATAGAAAAAAAAACAAAATTAATATTGTGAGATGTTAAGTTAAGAAATGTTACAAGGAAAGAAGTTTATTTGCAGGTACTGCATTTGAAAAAAAAATCGACCATATAGGTATATTAAAAGTGTTAACCCTCTGGTGTACAAAGATACAATTACACCATATTGCAAAGATTTTAGGAAAAAGACTGAATGTTGTCTCAAATATTCTTAAAATACTTTATAAAGAAAAATTATATTTTAAATATTTAAAAAATAGAAACGAATTTTTAGGAGGAGGTAAGATGGTAGTAGAAGTAGACGAAAGCAAATTTGGTAAAAGGAAGTATAGTAATGAACATGGGGTTGAAGGTGTATGGATACTTGGAATGGTCTAAAGATCATTACAACTTGGGATTGTTCTATTTCCTGTACCTAATAGAAAAATGAATTTTTTAAACATATTAATAAAAAAATTTGTAAAAAGAGACTCTATTATATACTCTGATTGTTGAAAGGATACTCTAAACTTTCTAATTTTATGGAAAGTTATCTTACTGTTAACCACAGTAAGTTTTTTAAAGACAGAATAACTAGTGTTCATACCAACACTATCGAGGGAAATTGGGCAGCTATCAAACAGCAAACACCAATACGATGTCGCACAAAAAAATCAATTTTACCATATTTGCTCCGTTTTATGCTTTTAAAAAATCATAAAAAGATTGCTTTCTGATTTTAATTAAATTACTTCTTTGAGGCTTTGTTATTTTTTTCAAAAAAGTTATTTATATAAATTAGGGGGGCCGAACTCAAAATTAGCCTTATAAAACACAAGGGTTACAGAGTTAGAATAAAAGTATAAGCAAGTTTAATAAATAAATAATGTTAAATAAGAAATCTATATCATCTGTAACCAAACCATTATCTTTAAAGAATAAAGATAGTGACACGCGGAGCAGTGTTGTTGTACATTTTTTTTTGATTTTATTTAGTTATTGTAAATCTTATACAAGATGTCTATATCAATTTTTTTTTATAATCAAAGAACCGATTTGTAATTAAGGATAATAAAATAAGTACATACACAAAGGCGCATCATGTCCATTTAAAATGGTGAACACACTTTATATTTGTGATCTTTTTTTTTCAACTGGATAGCGGAAGCTAATCAATATATACATAAAGTCTAAATCTAAATATTTATTTTTTAACCCTTCTTTTTGTAAAATTTTGGGTTGCACCCCTTTATTGGGGTGACAAAATAAAAAAAATAAAAATTTACTTTAAATAGTAAAAAAAAACCAATCTATTTATTAAACAATATGCTTCGATTTTTTCGTCAGTACTTTTTATTTATGAATTTTTACGTTATTTGGATCAACAAAATGCAAATGGTGATTTACTACCGAGTGGTTATATACAAGCACACTTAAGTCAACATAACCATACCAACCGTTTGTTATGGTTTTTGTTCCAACATCAATATTGTTTAAAACAAAACGTTCACAGATGGGCTTTGTTTGTCGTCTTACAATTTAAATTGCGACTTGTTATGCTATACGACTAATACGGCCGATAAGCGGATCACGCTTGCCTGTAAATAACCACTCACGACCATCGTACCGAGAACAAATTTGCATTTTATGCCCCAATTTTGAAAACCACAAAGATGAATTTGTGGATCAATTTTGTTCAAATGCATTAATAGTTCAATACACATATTTTTCTTCGGTTTCGCATTCGTTGACGATGTCTATCACCTTTACCCCTAAATGGTGAAAGCATATAATTTGCAGCACGGTGTATACTTTTGTTTTTATGCAATGAAGAATTGTATCTGCATACAAAGATTCCGTCTTTCTGAATAAACGCTGATTACGACGAATTGGTCGTTTTGGCACTGGGCCTGTTCCCGGATAATTATATTTTTTTAACTCATTACCCAGAAATGGGCCCTAATTTGAGAATTTTTTTAATTCATAAAATTATGGTTTTTTTACAAGAATCAAATGGAATAAGATTTTGATTTTTATTAACTTAAAAGATTCAGTAGAGTGATGTGATTTTTATAAATCTTTAAATATTAATAAGATATGTGATAAGTGTAGGTCAGAAACGCGTATAGAGCATAATGAAACCCATGTAAATTTTCATCAGTTAAGCGGGTCTTCTCCACAGATTCGCCTACCTTTTTTTTCATCATAATTCTAGGAGCTAAAAAATAAAAAAAAGATAATAAGTCAAAAAACCAATAGGCACAGCAAACTAGTAGGCAAATTCGTGAGGTTAAGCAACCACCCCGATATTTTTGTATAAATCGACAGAATTTCAAAAAACTAATGCTATTGTTCTTAATTCAAAAAATACTACTATTTTCAATCCCACCAATCTATTACTACCCAACCCCAATATCATCTAACCAAACTACCTACTCCAACTATCTAACCATCATCATTTAAATCCAACTACTTAACTTAATCACCCAATTTAACGGTATCTAACCCAATATTACTTAACTTAATACACTACCATATATATTTGTATTCATAAATACAAAAAGTTATTTCAATTTAATAACAAAAGCACATATAAAACCAAAAAACTATCACAATTATTGGGAAAAAACATCAATGGTTCCTTTTAGAAGAGCAAAAATTTTAAAAATAACCCCAATGAATATTAACAATAGAACATAAAATTTTTCAAAATTTAGATGTGCTAAAAAACTTTCTTATAAGCAATAATATTATAAACTCCTCCATTTCCTGTTTAAGATGTAGCAATTTGTCTAGGTTGTTGCCAATTTCTACAAGCAACGGAAGTATAGGTTATAGATGCACAAAGAAAGGATGTCAAAAATGCCTTTCTTTTTTTCATTATACTCTGCCCTTAACAAAAGTAGCAAGGCTATTTATTGCTTAATGTGTGACTTAAATTACTTTCGGTTGTCGATATTTTTTGGAATATTCGACACTACTATTGCAAAGTATAAGTCTTTACTTTTAATTTGTTACAAAGACTACTTTGAAAAAAGGTTTGTTGTTTGTGAGGCTGTGGTAAAATTGTTCAAGTTGATGAAAGAGTTTTATCACACAAATGAATTATTAAAAATCTTACAGGCGCCGGTGATACTAGGGATACAATTTGGATATTAAGTGGAATAGACCGAACAGAAAAGAGAAATTTCTTTCTTCGTAGAGTTACTGTTCGTACTATAGGATCATTAACTGTGGCTATGATGTCTAATATCAACAATGATAGCATTATATTTACCAACGGATACACGTCTATTGCAAGAAATTTAAATTTTAGGCATCATATAATTAATAATACTGAAAGTTTTAGGACAGAAGATGGCACCCATACAAATAATATAGAAGGGTTTGGGGGCCATATGAAAAGTACTATGAAGAAAGAAAACGACGTTTTTTTCGGGATGATATCGACACCCGGTCAATTCAGTATACATTTAATTGAAGGTATTTTTTAGGTAAAAGTAATATAGAATTTTCTGAAGTATATATTGATATTTTAAAGACTTTTTTGAATTAAATTTTTAATAATATTTTTTTAACCTTTGTTTTACATTTCTTGAAGGTAAGCCAAATTCGTGGAGAAGACCCGGTTAAGATGTATAATTTGTAATTGTAGAAGGCCAGATTTATTGTTAAAAGGGACGAAAATAAGCAGCTCAAAAATAAGTTTTATGAATATTTGTTTATTATCTATTCTTGGCTCGAAAAAAAACATGAATACAGCATGGCCAAAAACTCTAATGTATCTCTAAATTATATTAAGAGAATTAAAAAAATAATGATTAATGTTGTTGTGGAGAATAATCAGAAGAACGAGATAAAACCGTGAGACGACCATCCTGTATAGGTCGGCCAAAGCATAATTGTTAAAGACAAGCTTCATAATTCTCCCTTTGAAAAGTATAATAAAATAAGAGAAGAGATTTGGTTTGTTGGGGTTGTTGAAGAAGTTTTTCGAAAGCTTATTTTAAAGATAGTTCTAAATAGAAAAAAAGAAACATTTTTGAAATTTTTCAAAAAGTATATATATTCATGTTCTACTATCAAAACAGATGGCCACGTTTCCTATCCATACACTATGGCAAAGATTAAAGGCAATCATATTGTTGTTAATCATGAATTTAGATTCACAAATGAAGAAGGACACCAGCATAATTTGATAGGCGGAGAATGGTTTTTATTCAAATCTGATTAAAAACAAGAAAAGGAGTTCCAGAATTTGAAATTACTGGCTACGTTTAGGTATACCAATGGAGAAGAAATAATATTGATGGCTATGATAGAGATGACACAGCCAAAGCCTTTTTAAAATTGCTTAGATTATTGTTTAAAAAAGTATGTTTTGTTTTAAAAAAGTTTTATTTATGCATGTAAAAACCCACCTACCCGACATAATCAGCATTTTAGTAGTCTGAAAATTTCAGAACATTTTATAGCCCCTCCTGTGACCAAAAATTGGCCGGGTTTAGACCCTAGAGCCGCCATCAACACCATTTCGCAACTTGCCCTTTTCCATGCGCATTATATCCTTTCAATACATACCCCAGGAGATATGTTGATCAACCCGGTCTCAAAAGCCGATCCAGATAGCTTTCCTCTGTTTCGATTTTTTTTGGGTAGTTGGAAAGGATTTATCATATAAGGGCATAAAAATAAAAATTTTAAAAAATCTTGTCCTCCCCCAATCAGGAAAAATTACTAAATTTTGTTTCAAAAGCAATAACAATATTGTTTTGATTATTTGACGTACAGAATATTCCCTGTATTTTTTTGTGTTCTATTCAAAAATCCAATTTCAAAAGTGTATTACTGCCGTTTTTATACATAATATAAACAACAAATCATTAGCTTCTAAATATAAACGTAAAAACTTGACGCAAGATACATATTATTAAAAAGCATACATTGTGTAAAAAGTACCGTTTTATAACTGGACAGCGCAAAGTCTATTATTTAGTAAAAAGTAAGTTATTCTAAGAGCCCGAAAAGAACAATTAGCAGTGAAAGGGTCCTAAGCTCATCAGAAAATTGCCCTGGGACTAGCCGCATTCTTTGCAGCACGCCAAAAATCTTCATGGTTTACTTTCATAATTCCACGCATTGTATGCAACTCGGTCTTTTAACGGCTACATAAATTTTTAAATTATTCTTATGCTTACCATCTTCATTTGTAAATCTCATAGTATGGGTTGCTTTTTGTTGATAAACCAAAATCTACAACTGCTGATCTGTACGACGCAAAACCATCTGTTCTTATAATGGTTTCTTTTTCATTATAAATATTAGAAAGATTCATTATTATATTGGCCGATCTATTTGGAATAATTTTAAGAAAGAAATTGTCGCTTTCTTTTTCAATTCCTCTCATAAACCATGTTTTACCTGCAATTGTATCTTGTGTTGAAGTAGGATTGGTGATCATCCTACCTTTACTTATTGCGGCTTCATAAACCTGGATAATCTTATTAAGTCTGCTTATTTTAGAAAAAAATTTTAATTTCATTTTTATCTTTTCTAAAATAACATCCCTATAAGAAATATTAGTGGGCTCGGAAATTTCGTATGTTGAACATACAACCGCATTACTTGGTTTCAAGACCCAGCAATAAATTATTCCGAGCCGAATATACAAAGGCTGCCTAGATTATTGAATATTGTGTCCGTCTTGGTAATTTTCGTTTCTTGAATCCATTAGCACAATAGAAGCATTTTCTTTCTGCATATTTTTTTTCTAGATTTAAAATAAAGCCTTTAAAATCATACCTGATTGTTCGCAAGAAAACATTGGCTGTGGTTAGTTAATTAATTGAACTTTCATATTTTTTAAGATTGAATCGTACAAATTTCTAATCATTCCTAGAGGTAAAGAATTTAAAAAAAATAAAAAACCGCTTTTCTAAATATACTGTCATGTTGAAATTAATTATATAACGTAAACTGAAAAAAATGTTTTTTAAATTTTTAAAACACCCCCCGCGAGACTGTGTTTAAGTAGCTTCTTTAAATTTACATAAAACAACTAATCATTTAGGGGTACGGAACTTTTTTTAAAAAAGGAAAAATTTAAAAAAATGAAAAAATAATAGTGTTTTCTTTAATTTTCAATATTAAGCAAAATGTTAATAAATATTAAAATTCTTTTTCTTTTCTCGCGAGCAATAATACCTAAATGAAAATACAAACAAATATCCTGAAAAAAGTCTTTCCGTAGTACCATATTGTACGCTCAGTTGTTTTTTAGCATGATCTTACATGCATTCAATATTCTAAGTATGGATATTTGAACCAGTAGGATCGACAAAATTAATGGAATAATTTACTTCTTCGTGTTCATATATACTACTGTCATATAAACATCAGTGGGCTCTCCAAATATCAGAAATTATTCTTGATCCGCTTCAAATCTTTTGTAATATTATTCTTATTGGCTTGGCGCATTTTTCACCTATTAATTTTTTACCCTCAATAAAAAAAAGTTTACTAAAAAAATTTTGTTTTATATAATCAGTTTAATTTCCAATGAAAGCTAAATGCAATTTTCTTTAAAAATTCTACACCGTAATACTCAGAATATCTATTAAGAATTTCTTTCATTTTATCTTCAACATTAATAGTAGAATCACAATACAGAGATTGTAATAGCTTATTTTCTGTTATTTCCTGTTCAATTATTAATTCTTTTAATATTAAAAAAAATGATGCTTGTTTTACCTTTACAAGACTGTTCAAATGCCTATGCATTCCTTCTATGCTATTTGTCGTCCTTGGTATTCCGTTTAAAGTTCTATCAAATACATTCCAAAAGCTTATAGATTTATTACTGTCATTTTCCACCAA